TTTTTTTCTGTTGTAGGTGTGTTTGTGTGTGTGTGTGTGTGTGTGTGTGTGTGTGTGTGTGTGTGTGTGTGTGTGTGTGTGTGTGTAAATTATATGTGAGATTAAATTCGTGAGGCCACCCTCTTTATTCTTACAATCTCTCTGCACTGGACCAGTGGGTTCTGGCACTTTAAAGCCATCCCACCTGGTAAAATCCTGTTTGCCCTGTGATTTGTCTCTGCCCACAGTATCTGGAGACTAGGAAATGCCCAGTAATTGCCCAAGTCTCTGTCCAATGCCCTTAGAACTAGCAACACTACTTTGACACCCCTTCTCTCATCTGGAGAGTACTGCCTTGCAGGGGTGCTTATTCACCTCTATGCTCCGGTCTGATTGTTTTCATCCTCCCTTTGATTGTTTTTGCAGGCCCAGGTTCTCTTCTTTGTAGTCATCATGATCTCTTTCGTAAACTACATAGTGGGGACAATCATACCAGCTAGTGAGGAGAAGCAAGCAAAAGGATTCTTTAGTTACAGAGGTGAGCTACTGTTGCTGCCATGAGCCGAGAAGATCCAGTGGATAACCTACATTTTGAAGAGCTCTAGGAAAATCTGTTTGTTTCAAGGAAGCCAAATGAAATAGTGGAAGCTGTTTTGGGACAAAAGTGGAGAAAACTGCATTGGCCATTCCCTCCACCCTCTGTTTGCATAGGATTAGGCACAAATGAATTCAAATTGAAACCTGCCAACTAGATTAAGTAATGCTCAATGTAAGGAAGGTTATTGTGGAATTGTCACTTTTCTATGGGGAGCCATCTTTTTATTGTTCAGTTAGTGGGGAGGTGGAGGGTCAAATTTGCTCCAATCCTCTGACATTGCTATTCTCCACTTTCTGCTGTGTGTTATTGCTTGATCTGTAAGCAAAGGGACACTCATGAGGTGTATCTTCCCCTTAACTGAGAGCCCCTTGTCTCCAAGCCGTGTTTTTTAAGGCTTTCAAAGCAGCACTGGAACAGAGTATTGCTAGGCCAATTAAGGGGGGGGAAGTAAAAGAGATGTGAGAAGTGCCAATTAGCACCTTGTCGTGTTGCCAATTAGCAACTTGTCAAAGGCTGCTTCTGCTCTTGGAGCTCTGGGCAAATGCAGCTCTCTACCTCTACCTCTGCCCCTGCTGACTCTTGCAAATTGTTCATCATCTGAACAGCTACAGCACCTTCATCTGCAGAAACCCGATTTAAAAAACTGTAGACCGCAGGAAATTTATGTATATTTTCCCTGGTGTGCAGCTACACCCTGATTCAGCCAATTAAAATCAGAATGTGGAAGAGCTATTTGCCTGGATGATAGCTCCAGGAATCCCACCACCATGCTCTGAGATAGCCCAAGGACCCTGAATGGGTGGGGAATCCTAGGAGTTGTAACTGAAAAAGAAAGAAAGAAATATAAATTTACAGTCACCTCTTTTCCTCCCTCCATTTTTTAGCGGATATTTTTGCTCAGAACTTTGTGCCAAAGTGGCGTGGGCCGGACGGGAGCTTCTTTGGCTTGTTTTCCATTTTTTTTCCATCAGCCACCGGGATCTTGGCAGGAGCTAATATATCCGGGGACCTGAAGGTAGGTGTTGCCAGCCAGAGCCATGGAGAAGAGGGGGAAGGTGAGGATGGGTGTGCGTAATATGAAGCACTTTGCCCCCCAGAAACTGGATGTTTCACTCTGAAACCTAGAAAATCCATTGAGGTCGCTCTCCCTGATCTTTCCTTGAAATCCCCTCCCCCAGGTAATGTCTTTGAACTCCAGGTCCTCTAACCCCGTGAGCAGCTAGTTACACGACAACTCATCCACTTGTCTGCAACATTACAAGTTCCTAGCTCTCATTGTTTTTTTAAGGGGATTACAATTCCCAGAATCCCCCAGCCAGTGTGTTGAGTTAAGATAAAGCCCACCCAGTTATTTAAGGTGGGATCCCGGTAGCATCTGTACCAAATATCATATTTCTAGCTCTTACTAGTTCAGAGATCTTTCAGGATAAACCCACCCACCCACCAGCTTCTGCTTTTATTTAGAAGATTATATGATAGGTTAATATGATGTTAGGATGTGCAAGGAATGCTGCTTTTTCTGAATGCCGCTTGTTCCCTCCTTTCAGGACCCTGCGGTAGCAATTCCGAAAGGGACCCTGATGGCTATTTTTTGGACAACCATATCATATCTGGTCCTTTCCGCTACCATTGGTAGGTGAACAGCCAGGCGTTGCTTATTGGGAAAACCCACCTTGAGAACAGCCTCTCTTCACCATGAAATGTTGGATTTGATCTCCCATACTCCCTAGCCAGCATGCCTATATTCTGCTCACTGGGGATAATGGGAGTTGTTGTCCAACAGACCTGGGGAAGCTTGTGGTGAAGGGGTATAGCTAATATTTGGCATGGGAATAGACAAAACTCCCCCTTCTCACCCTCCAGGTGATCTCTCTCTCTCTCTCTCTATTTATTTTCAATGGTGTCCCAACTTTCCTCTAATGAACTTTAGGCAGGATATATGGCTCTCTTCCTCCTTTAGTGTCACCCCAACCCAACGAGGTAGTTCACTCTGTGCATGACCCAAGGTCATCCAGGGAGTCCCCTGCCTAATGAGGATTTGAACTCAAGCCCTCTTGAGTCCTAACCCCACACCCTCAACATGACTGTACAGGTCCCATCCCTCTGATCTCTCATGTCCCCTGATCTTTGACCTGAGACCCAAAGTTTGAGAAGGCAGCCTCTTTGCTGCTGTCCAGGGTGCTGAAATGTTTTCATTCCTGATCTGTTGTTCAGGGCTTATTTGGAGACAAGGTATTTAAAGATCCAACTCAAGAGGTGCTTTGAGATGGGCGGGTGGGGTCAAAGGGCACAGGAAAAGGAGGCTTAACCCTTCACACCCTAATGCAGGAATTTGACTTTTTTTAAAAAGCCAAACCAAAAAAAAAAAAAAGCCACAAGTGACCAAATGCATATAGAGATTTCACAAATTAAGATTTTTTTTAAAAAAAAAAAATCCCAGTGTGAAATATTTCAGCGTAAGCTATCCACCTCAGTCGCAAGGGCTTGGCTTTGTATTGCCAGGCTAACCATTTCTAAAAGCATTATCTTCACTGACCACCAGTGGTCTCCAATTAGAGCTTTAAAAAATAATAATGAACCTGATTTTAGGGACTATGTGAAAAAGAGAAGACTTTGTAGGTTGGATGGGGACACCCATGGGACCACAGCTAGTTCCTGGCTTGGTGTTTCTCGACCTCAGTTTTAGCACGAGTCAGTTCCAAGTCTTCCCAAGCCCTTAAGGTGCTACGACGTACGCAGACAGATGAGTGAGTCGCTCCCTGGAGCATGTTGGAAACAGAGAGAAGGAAGTCAAAAATGATCCCAACTTGTCCATCCTTAGGTTCCTGTGTGATCCGGGATGCATCTGGCAATGTGAACGATACCATCCCCGTAGGCTCCGTGGGCTGCGAGGGAACTGCATGTCATTACGGCTGGAACTTCACCGAGTGCACGCAGAGTCACAGCTGTCGCTACGGGCTCATCAATTATTATCAGGTACCGTCTCGACCACTCTGAAGGAAAATGGGCATGCCGTTTGTTTCCCCCTCATCTGTTGGAAGATCTGCTCAGGGGAAGGAGTATGGGAATGATGCTGGGGCCAGCCACAACCTCTCCCTCAAAGCCTCAATCCCAAATGAAACTTGGGTTGGACTCCTTGGGAAATCACGGACAACTCTTGTCCACGGCCAGCATCGGGCATGCATGGACGTGGCCAAGTCTGTGGCTACAGATGGTTCTTCTGTTATTGCAGGGAATGGAGAGGAATGGATTACCTTTAGATCAACACAGAGAAGGAGGATTCAGCCTTCTTAGACCCTGGGGTAAACCAGGGTAGGTTCATCCGTCCATGGCTGGCAGGATCTCTCTAACATCTCAGACACAAGTCACTTGGAAAGAGGGAGAACTTTGGTTCCAAGTCATTCAGTGACTCTGTTCTTTGGAGTCCAATGCACACACATCATGCCCCAGAAGGAGACAGCAAGGAGAGGTGGAAACCAATTCCTTGAGAGGCCCTCTGGCTGAATCTAAAGCCTGCATTCGAAATGACTGTTCGTCCGCAGCCTCATCATCTCAGGTCATTTGTGAATGAACATTCCCATTGAGCCAGCCCTAGCAGGAGGCAGAGTGGAGTAGGCACAGGATGGGGTTGGAGAGTGCCAGGAAGTTGTTGAACTTACAAATCCAATGCAGCCCGCACTGTATAACCTAAGGTGCTACTCTCAAGTGAAGTAGAGGTAGCCAGCTCTGAAGTGAGGCACAACTCCCAAATCTGGTCAGCTTCAGTCAATGGAAGCGGGGAAGAGATTCCACTTTTTCCTCTGCCTCAGGCAGCAATATGTCTTAACACACTCTTGTATTCTCACTTGACTGAGTGGGTTCTGCTCATTCCGCTTGGAAAAGGTCAAGTGCTAGATACAGCGGTTTCTAACCTTAGGCTCCCATATGTACTCAGACTACAACTCCCAGGAGATCTACCTACCATGGCCAATGCTCAGGGATTTTGGGTATAGTCGTCCAAGAACATTTGGGGCCCCAAATTTTAGGAACCTCTGCCATGGCACAGTCCAAGTTGCTGCTGTGGTTCTGATAAAAGGCTGCCATGGAACTGGGTTCTGGCTCTTCTGCTGATGAAGACACTGCAGGGGAAAGGCGAGGTGGGGGGTCTCCCTGCACTTCTGGGAGCATCAGATCTGTTGGTGGTGCTCTCTGCTGGTTTATGCTTTCTTCCCCCCAGACCATGAGCATGGTGTCTGGTTTTGCGCCACTCATCACAGCTGGGATCTTTGGCGCCACCCTCTCCTCGGCTTTGGCTTGCCTCGTTTCTGCACCGAAAGTCTTCCAGGTGAGATGGCTGGGTGTGGAATTGCTTTGCTAATCAAGGAAAAGAAATCCCTCAGAAGAATGTCAGGCATGTCGACAGGCATGTTGTGCACCGACAGAAAGGGTGGACGGACTTCAAGCTTGCAGGATAGCCTAAGTTTTTTCTTCCTAGAACCCCTTGATCCATCGATCCTTGCTTAATGCAAAAGACTCAAAGTAGGGATCCCTGTTTGGGGTAGCAGAGCTAATGGGAAAGCACATTCTTGCTTCAATAGACAGATCTGCTTTCGGTGTCCCAAGCTTGCTTCGTTTCAGCAACAAAGTCGTTTAGGGCGCCAAACAAGATATTTTGTTGAGGCCAACTGTTGGGCATCTGATATCTAGGCTGATCACCTGCAAATCGCTCAGAGATCTGTGAGTCGTTCCCAAGGGCACCACAATGAGAACTTGGACATTTAGCAAATCAGAAACTGCTGAAGCTAAATAGAGAAGGAGTAGAGAAAAAGGGATAACAGAGCAGATTAAAAAAGGGGGAAACAAATTTCATTCAAAGCCCCAAAGAACCGGATAACGGATGCCTAAAAGATAAGGCTGAGGTTGCCAAGCCTATTTATAATTTGGGCCCCTCCAGCAAGCAAGCCTTCTATTCATCATTTTCTTAATGTTCAGAAGCTGGAGTATCTAATTGAATGAATGCCATCTAATGAATGTCTTTAACTGCTGGGGAGGGTGAGGAGAACCTCTGGATCTTTTAATGGATGTGGTGTCTTCATTTATCCAACAGTGCCTTTGTAAAGATCAGCTCTACCCTGTCATTGGTTTTTTTGGGAAAGGGTACGGAAAGAACAATGAACCCATCAGGGGTTATGTCCTGACGTATTTCATTGCAGTCGGCTTCATTCTTATTGGTAAGATTTTGGGGAGCGATAAAACATCCAAAAGCGTTGGTCGGTCGGTCGGTCGGTCGGTTCGTTGGTTCGTTGGTTGGTTCTTTGGTTGGTTTGTTGGTTCGTATCTCACCTCTCTCCTAAAAACCAGCCCCTAGCAACTCATTGGATTCAGAGTGGGTTGAATAACTGTGAGGTCTTGAGTTCTGTATTAAGATCCTGTATCTTCTGTTGTTGCCCCCATGCTGTGGTATTTTTTTTTTCTTGAGGCCCTGTAATGCAGGGGTTCAGAAGAGGGTGGCAGGCAGAGTTGTTTGAATTGGAGGCTAGAAACTGCTATCCCATCACTTCTGTGGATGGCATTTTGGTAGCTAAAATCCTTTATGTTGTTGGTAGGTTTTATTGTGCTTTATCAGTTATAGGCAGGAATTTATTGCCGTGTATGTTTTATATGCTGTTTTGTGTGGCGTACCATTCTAGCTCTTTTTGGAGAGAATAAGAGCATATAAATAAAAATAATAAATCGGTAAGTCCACAATGTTAAATTGCTTGTTGGATTCTTCCAAGCAGCCATGTTAGTCTGTGCCAGTGGACTGAGGAAGCGAACTTGATCAATGAAAGTTTAAATTAAAATATACCAGTTAGTCTTTAAGGTGCTGCAACCTTTCTGTCTCTTGTTATTTTAAAATATACCAGTTAGTCTTTAAGGTGCCGCAACCTTTCTGTCTCTTGTTATTTTGTTTTTATTTTATTTTATTTTTTGTCTGATTTCTTTATTTGTTTGTTTGTTTGTTTGTTTATTTATTTATTTGATTTATTTATTTGATTTATACCCCACCCATCTGGTCAAAAAGACCACTCTAGGCGGCTTATTTTATTTAATTTTTTGTCTGATTTCCTTGATGCTGTACTTTGCACGCTGCACGCAGTTGACTGGACCTAACGGCCTTTCTCTCTCCACGATCCTTGCAGCTGAGCTGAATGCCATTGCTCCTATCATCTCCAACTTCTTCCTGTGTTCCTATGCTCTGATCAATTTTAGCTGCTTCCACGCCTCCATCACCAACTCACCAGGTGAGGACGAGCATCAGAGAGCTTGGCGACAAATATGACCCACAGCATTAAGCAGAATGTTCCACTCTCGGAATCTTATTGCATGAGGAAAGCATGTCCGTAGAAGGTCCCCTGGCACTTGTGAGCCATGCACCATGACACAGGAGCTTAGCCACATAGACACAGCATGGGGGGTGGGAAATGACCATTTTTTTTTCAACCACCACTCCTTAATTTCTAGATTTGTAGTCCTGAGAGCTGTGGTTCAAAAATTCTGGAGTTTGGCACACTGGCCCAGAGATGGGCAACTGTGTGAGAAACATACACATCATGTTGGAATTAATAATCCATGCAAATCATTTGAAGGAGGCTGAGGGTTAGGGAACCTATTAAGTCTCTGTTTAACTCAAGGGCTGCTGGAATTAAGTGACACAATGTAATGGACAATATTTGTTCTTGCTGGTGGTAAACTGGGGCTCATCAGTATAAGTTGCTGGGAGTCAAAAGTTCCCCAAAAGTGTTTTTTTTATTAACCCTGGGCTTCATCATCATCTTGGACGCAGGGATGGTTCAGCAAATTCAGCTATGGTTGAAAGTTGGTAGGCTGGCTCCCTGCCTACACAGCATCTTCCAGCCCTGACAGCTGATGAGCGACAAGAGGGGATGAAAGGAAGAGCAGACAATAGGTGGGAAAGAGCATGGTGTTAAGAGGGTGGCCAGCCTGTGATCCCAGAGGGAACGGGAGCAACCTGAGAGGTTTGTTGTGGTTTCTTAGCCCAAACCCACCCAAGATAAGTAAATGTTTGCATTTGAACAGAAAGATCAGTGTAAATGTTTGAAGTGACTCTTTTTAAATCCAGTACTATCCAATCTAGTTTGTCTTGTAGAATACATGAGCTTGTCTTGCATAATAGCTCTCTTCTTCCATATTCACTGAAGCTTTACATGAGTGAAATAGGACAGTACTACATATCACAGAAGGGACGTGGTGGCACTGCAGGTTAAACTGCAGAAGCCTCTGGGCTGCAAGGTCGGAAGACCAGCTGTCGTAAGATCGAATCCACGCGACGGAAAGAGCTCCCGTTGCTTGTCCCAGCTCCTGCCATCCTAGCAGTTCAAAAGCACGTAAATGTGAATAGGTAAACAGGTACCACCATGATGGGAAGGTCATGGTGTTCCGTGTCTAGTCAACTGGCCACGTGACCACGGAAACTGTCTTCGGACAAACGCTGGCTCTACTGCTTGGAGACAGGGTTGAGCACCGTGCCCTAGAGTTGGACACGACCGGACTCAATGTCAAGGGGAACCTTTACCATTACTTAGATATCACAGGCAAATATTTCTGCACAAGGCCTTCTGCTCAGAGTTTATCTAAAAGACTCCACACTGTTTCCCTCATGTGTTCTTCTACTGTTTGCTGCTCTTTTGAGAATCTGCTCCAGCGCCAGTGGTGTTGCGATGGGGTTGCTGCTTGGACCGCCCTCTAAAGCCGACCCGCGGCTGGACGTTGCTGCTATTTTTGTATTCTCCCCTGAACAGGTTGGAGGCCTTCGTTCAAGTATTATAGCAAATGGGCCGCTCTCTTTGGGGCTGTGGTGTCTGTCATCATCATGTTTCTGCTCACCTGGTGGGCCGCCCTCATCGCCATTGGGATCGTGGTTTTCTTGCTGGCCTACGTCCTCTACAAAAAGCCTGGTAGGTCACTGGAACCAGCGGAACCACAGCTGAAATCTCTAGGAAGGATCAAAGCAGACCCTTCTGCAGGGAAGGGAAGGGCTGCTAGGGGAGGCTGGCCCACATGGCATGGCCAGATTGTGGACTGGGGTTCATTTCATGAGAGAAGGATGCTCCTCTTGGCAACAAACCCACTGGCTATCAGTTTGTGTTCAGACACACTTCAAAACACTAGTTATGACCCCGTAAAGCCCATGCAGCTTAGAATTGGCCTTTTAAAAGCACCCTGTCTTCTAGGTCTAATGACTTTCAAGAGAGGCCTTTCTCTCAGTCCCACACACCCCTGCACACCTATTTGGTAAAGATATCAGAGTGAATTCCTTTGGTGGCTGTTTCCAATCTGTGGAACCTCCCTCTCAAGGGAAGTTAGACTGCTTCCTCTCCCACCAAGCACAGAGCGTTGGGACTAAAAATCCATTCATGTCTTCCGGAGGGGTCCTATGAGCAGGAAAAGCATGCTGTTCCTGTTTAATGCAACTGGAGCTGGTGTTAAATAAGACGACAGATCTGATCCTAGTGGGACGTTTCTTTCCAGTGGTGAACTGGGGCTCTTCAGTACAAGCCGGCTCCTACAACATGGCCCTCAACTATTCTGTCGGCCTCAACGAGGTGGACGACCACATTAAAAATTACAGGTAAGAAAGTATAACGTGGTGGTGGTGGTGTTGGAGGAAAGGAAGAGATTGCAAACTAAAATCTCTCTAGGTGTAATCCAGACCACACCGATGCCTTGAGAGGCTGAGAGAGTTTGTGAAACAAGGATGAGCATAATGTGGCCTTTCCAGGCTTTGTGAGACTGCGATTCCTCGCGTCCCTCACCACGGACGATGCAGGCAGAGTCCGATGGGGGTCTGAGTCCTGAACAGCCAAACCCACAACCACAATTTTACTAACACAATCCTCCAGTCCGATAAAGTCATCTGGGAAGGATGAACTGCCCCAGAGTCCCCCGAAGTGATGAGAGCTGGGATGATGATGAATTGGTAGAAATGATGTGGCAGCAACAATTCAAACCCAGGTTTCCCTGTCTAAGTTTTTGCATCACAGTGGCTCCTTACACAGTGGCAACGATTTGCCCGTTTGTCCGTCCAGGCAATTAGTTATCTGTTACTTTTGCATTCCATCCTTGGGGAGTGGCCACAATTCAGTCATAAAGCCTATGTTTTGCCTATTCTTGTGAAGTGCTTTATCCTTAAGGCCTGGAGAGAGGGGATGGTAATAACCTGGTAGAAGGCAGTTTCCTGTGATTTCTCAGTGTGTATGTGTGTGTGTGGGGGTCCTTCCACTGCATCCCTGTGAAGGCTACAAAATCAGAGCTAACTCAAGATGTGCCAGTCCTTGGCAGAAATGCCAAAGGCCCCTCAGCCCCTCAACTGTGGCAGGATAGTTCTTCTGCCCACATGCCACTGAAATGATGGGGAGCTTTGAGAGACCCACAAGGGACTCATGCAGAGTTCCCATTGTTTGCAACGAAGCAAGCATGGAGCACTGACCTGCAGGATGAGGTCTGTGGGTTGTGGTTTAGGGTGTCTTCTGAGCCCTTAACAGCGCCCAGCCTTTGGCACGCATAGCGCCTCCTGCCTCCGCTTACCTTATGGCAGGGCTGGCTCTGTTATCGACGATGTCATGAGTGACCTATCATTGTTTCTCCTTCAGGCCCCAATGCCTGGTCCTGACTGGGCCTCCCAACTTCCGCCCCGCACTGGTGGACTTTGTGGGCACCTTCACAAAAAACCTGAGCCTGATGCTCTGCGGGAATGTGTTGATTGTGAGTATGTGTTGTGACAAGATCATTTGCCAGGCCGTTTCGACGAACGTGCCGCTTACTTCTCTGGTGAATGAACAAGTCTCTGCCTTTTGGTCAAATCAGCTCCAAAATTATTTACAAAGGATCGTACCTAGACTAGGGAACCCTTTTCTGCATCAAGAACCTAATTCCGTGAGGAACAACTTGACAAGGAGGAGGTATGGAAAGCGGAAGGGGCCACGGCCCATGGAGGCCAGTGACTCTGGTTTTACAGGGGCTGCAAATCCACTCTGGGTGTCAGTCTGAACTTTACAGAAGCTATCCAAGGTGCTGAAACTGGCCTCCAAAATGCATCCAGAACACAGGGTGACCCCCCACAGTGAGCTGAGGATGGTAGCCAGACGTGGGTGAAGCCAGAACTGAAATGGCAGAGTTTGCAAACGATGCTTGAGGTCTGCTAAAATGAGAGTTTTAATAGGTTGAGGTTAGGGGCAATAATTCCCAGAATTCCTCAGTCAATATGGAGAGGTTCACGGTCCTGGAGTTATCGTAGTCAAAAGGAATGCAGTCAACCATCTCTTGATGGTGAGAGAAGAGGGAGAGACGTTAGGGGAATACAGAGTTAATGCCTCTCATCAGCTTCCTGGTAGTCCTGAAACCATCAAGTGTGAAGGTGAAGAATCTCTCTGTCATGAGTGCCCACCCTCGTTGGAACAGTTACTGGCTAATTAAACCATAATGAAGGGGATGGGGAAGCATGACTTCCAGCAGTTTAATTGCCAAGATGGAGATCAGAGGCTGCTTTTGAAAGTGGGACCCATTCATCATGAGATGACATTCTGTTCCACAGGCTCTGCCACACGGATTAGAAAATTAATTGAGTCTTTCTTTCTTTCTTTGAGGAAATAGTTTGCCAATGCTCCGTTTTGTCAGTGCTGAAATTCTAAAAATAATAGCATCCTGTCTGGGAGGCCAACCTCTGGACTCAGAAGCTCTCTCTTCCATGGGCAGATGTGAGGAAGTGAAGGCTTCTGGGAGCTTTAGACCAAGAACATCTGGGGACCCAAGGTTGGAAGCCGGTGGCATAAAACTTTGCTGTTGCACACTGAGTTCTGTGACTCAGCACACAACAGTAAACACCTACAGAAGCTTCCTCATTTGCGTTAATCCACCATTGAGATTTACGCCAACCTTAGTCTTATGCCATCGGACATAACTAGGAAGATCCTGGCCACTGTCCTCTAATTACAGGCTGTTTAAGCACAGAATTCCTTCTGAGCGTGGCCTCTACTCTTAATTGTACAGTGTTTAGGGAGATGCAGGATTCTTGTGCAGTTTGTATAACTCCGTGCCGACCTCTGTTGAAAAGGTTGCAGACCTCACAACCCAACCGTATTGTGCTTCTGACTGGTGGCTCTCCCACCGTCTGCTCTGTGACAGGGGCCGTGCAAACAGGTGAGGCCTGAGCTACGTGGGGATGCCAACAGCCACATCAAGTGGCTGACCAAGAGGAAGATCAAGGCTTTCTACACGGATGTCTTAGCCGAGGACTTGAGAAGCGGGGTGCAAATCCTTATGCAGGTAAAACGAAAGAACGGGATCTGAAAAAGGAACACTAAATCAGGTCATGGAGAAAGGGATGGGAGAATAGGCCACCTTTCTTCTAGAACTGGGACTCGAGGTGGCTGACCTTTAACCCTGCTGAATGGGGCTGAGGCTAAGGGTAGGCAGAACCTCGGAAGAAACCCCAGTCGAAGACAGAATCTTCCATCCGGGAAACATTCTGCCTGGAGTTGGCAAATGCTGCCGTTCTGTCCGATGGGTTTGAGAATTGGCCAGCAAAAGGATCTTGGAATGGTTCTCCAAAAAGTAACTTTTGTGGTGCCAAATCCACAACCTGCAAATGCAGTAATGAAGTGGGGAGGCATTTTATCTCATTACAAGGGTGCACCTCCCCCCCCCCCCCCCGGTCATTCCAAGTAAAATCTCTTCTCTTTGGCGAAGGCCTCTGGACTTGGAAGAATAAAACCCAATGTCCTCGTGATTGGATACAAGAAGAACTGGCAGACGGCCCATCCCCAGACGGTCGACGACTACATCGGGATTCTCCAGTAAGTCGGTCCTGGTTTGCCATCTTTTCAAAGGATCCCACAGAAGCAGGCGGTCCCTGGACCCTTTCTTGGCAAAGCAGATCACGTTGAAGACCAAGGGGGGATTTGAACGTCATAAGGATCGTGTGCCTTCAAGTCCATTCTGACTTACGGTGATGCCTTTTAGAGTTTCCTAGGCTGAGAAATATCTGGAAGTGGTTCACCCTTCCCTCTTCTGTGGGTGCTCTTTGGGACAGTGCAGCTGGCCCAAGGCCACCCAGGCTGGCTCTTCTCCTCCCAGGAGGCAGAGCAGTGGGGGAATTGGAAGTCCCAGGCTCCGTCTGCACAGCCAGATGGCTCGAAGCTTAGGGTCAAATTAAACAATAAGATATGTATCCCATAGCAGTGTTTAGAATTTCTGGCAAAATTCATTTTCTATGCAGGAGAAGTACAGAGACTCATAGAGGAGAAGGGCTTCAAGTGCCCTCAGAGGGTCTCCCCCCACTTTCTCATGAGCTGGCACTTACGATCTAATTAACTCACTCTGAAACATTAGAAAGAATAAAAATGTTTTGTTACTTAGAGTTGTGAACAGGTCAACAGCAAACTTACAAACAGACCGCGCTGTTTCCAGCCCTCTAATGAGAGGGAAGAGGGATGCTCAGCGGAGAGGCGGGGCTCTCTTTGAATCCAGAGGTGAGAGGGAAGGATTGGTTAGAGCTGGAGAGACTGACAGATTGTAGAAACTGCACCATATACGGCCTCCAGCCGCATCTTCTCAGGCAGAAGGAAGCACAGCAGGAAGGCTTAGCACAGAACCGCTGTGGACCTCCTGCGCTCAGCCTCAATTATTCCTTCTCGTTCTCTTCCTGCATATACGGATCTCACTTGGCCCAAGGCTAACAGCAAAGCCCCAAGTGTCAAAATGGTTAGCAAAACCTCTAAGCCACAGTGCACTTAGTTGACGAGCTAGCCTTGCCCTGTCTTTAATGGCCATGGATCTCACACCACGTCTGTTTTTCTGCTCCAGCGACGCTTTCGACTTCAGGTATGGGGTGTGCGTGATGCGCATGAAGGAGGGACTCAACATTTCCTGGCTCATGCAAGCACATGGTAAGCTTTTAGGCTGCTTTTTACCAAGGGCTGGGGGCGTATGGGGTTCATAGCCATGTGTAGCTCAATGGGACCTCTGTTTTCTGATTAAGGAGCACATAATCATTGGGAAACTTCCATTAAACCATTTCCAAATATCTTTGTTAATCTCTGTTTATATGTGGCTATGAGGTTGCATTCAAAGGAACTCACAATATATGAAAACTGAAATGCATCCTATATAGTCACAATAAACTCATTGTCCAAATCTTCTTGATATACTCAACATTCATCATAACAGGCATTTATGGGTGGGTTGGGGGGAACCACCCTTTCAATCCAAGAAATTCTTAGCACCGTCTAATAAATCCACACTTCAAATTCTTCTATAGGTATAGTTATTTAATATGGTCAAACCTCACAATTCACTGTCATATAGTAGAACTGAGTATGCACAGCACTGTACAACAATGTTGATTTCTTTTTTTTCCCTCCTCAGTTAATCCGGTTTTTGATCCAGGAGATGATCCCCAGAAGGACGGCAAGCTGTCATATAGTAGAACTGAGTATGCACAGCGCCGTACAATAATGTTGATTTCTTTTTTTTCTCTCTCTTCAGTTAATCCGGTTTTTGACCCAGGGGATGATCCCCAGAAGGACGGCAAGGCCCCAGCGGTCGTAGGAACATGTCAGTTCTGAGCAGCTTAATTTGCTTGTGAATCTAGATGTTTGTCTTTCAGTTAACAGAGTCTCAATGGGGGGGTGGGTACGGATCCTGGTTGCTCGTTGCTACCTCTAGGCCTAAGATATAAAACTTTGGAGAGCAGGCGCTTTCCAGGGATTTCCAAGTATACCGCACACAGAAGTGGTTTCCCGTTCCCTTCTTCTGCGGGTGCTCTTTGGGATAGTGCAACTGGCCCAAGGCCACCCAGGCTGGCTCTTCTCCTCCCAGGAAGCACAGCAGTCTAAACACCGGAGGCACAAAAATCAGAGCTGGGGAAAGTTACCTTTTTTCAACTGTAGTTCCTTGAATCTTGCGAGGTTCAAAGTCTCACAGCCCAAAAAGGGTGCACTTCCTTGCTCTGTCTCATTCCCTAAAGAGCTTTGTAATTCTGTTTTGTACCTTGCACAGACACCCTCTTTTGTAGCTTTTTCCTCCCACCCCACTTCCTTCAAATCTCCATGTCTGAGCCATCAGACTTGCAAACGAAGCCTGTACCTTCCTCCCAATGATCATGCTTTACCTTTTCAGTGGATCCCGAGGCTTTGGTAGCAGAACAACAGGCTAGCACCATCTTCCAGATGGAACAGGGCAAGAAAACCATAGACATCTACTGGCTTTTTGATGACGGAGGTGCGTTGGACTTCCTTCTCTCGCACACACAGGGGTGACGTTGGCTGTAGCAAGCATGGTTGTGGAGGGACGTCCCCAGAGGCACCAGGCTGGCTTCCTCTTTTTTCAGTTACACGTTGAAAAAGATTTATTTTCCAGCAGGCTTGTAGTGCTTAAAATCTAATTTCCCACCTGGCAGGATTGACGCTCCTCATCCCGTATCTCCTCGGTCGCAAGAAACGATGGGGAAAGTGCAAAGTTCGTGTGTTTGTCGGTGGGCAGATCAACAGAATGGATGAAGAGAGGAAAGCGTACGTTGACTCAGAAGGCTTTACTAACAGATGCTCAGCTTCAAGGGAGTTGAGGAGTCCTGGTTGCTCAAGGCCAAATCGCACATTAAGAGAACTGTGTGGCTTTTTCCTCCTGTGCACACACTTTCTTCAAATCTCCACGTCGGAGCAATCAGACTTGCAAGTGAAGCCTGTGCCTTCCTTGAAAATAAGGATTTAATGGTGTAGTTACTGTATGCCTTGAGCTGTCTAGTCACTACTGTAAACGAGACTGTGATATTTCAAACAGCGCTCAGAAAACTTCTGTTTCGAACTATAACATCTACACATGCTAGCATTCTGAGAGTTTTAGTCTTAAAAAGTATGTAACTTTTCTCAGATCTTATGTTTGATAACCTTCCATCATCATAATGACGATGTGCCATCAAGTCTATTCTGACTTATGGTGACCCTTTTGAGGGTTTTTCAGATAAAAGATACAGTGGTGCCTTGCTTAGCGATGTTAATCCGTGCAGCAAAAATTGCTGCTAAGCGATTTCATCGCTAAGCGATATTAAAAAGACCATAGAAGCACATTAAAACCTGTTTAATGTGTTCCTATGGGCTTGAAAACTAACCTTAAGCAGAAATCTTCCACAGGGGTGGCCATTTTCAGTGCCTCTAAAGCGAGGCAACACAGCGGGTGGCCATTTTATATACCCAGCGGCCATTTTGGAACCGCCTATCAGCTGTTAAAAATTCATCGCTTTGCGATGATTGGTAAGAGAAACAGGGAACCGATCATCGCAAAGCGAACTTTCCCCATAGGGAACATCGCAAAGCGATCGCAAAAACTTCATTGCTATGCGGTTTCGTTGCTAAACGGAGCGCCCGTTAAGCGAGTCACCACTGTACTCAGAAGTGGTTTCCCATTCTCTTCTTGCAGCTTACCCAAGGCTAACCAGGCTACCTCTTCCCCTTGAAGGCCCAGTGGGGGAATCAAACTCTCAACCTCTGGCTCCACAGCCGGGTGCCTAAACCACGGAGTTATCCAGCCCTCTGATACATTAGTAATATATCATTAATATATCATTCTGGTTCCACAGCCAGGTGCCTAAACCACGGAGTTATCCAGCCAGCTGATACATTAGTAATATATTATTAAAACCTCTGACATCCTTTTCTCCCTGTTTCTCTCCTCTTCCCACTCTGCAGGATCATTTCCTTGTTAAGCAAGTTCCGGCTCGGCTTCCATGAAGTTCACATCCTTCCAGACATCAATCAGAAACCCCGACCTGAACGGTACATCATTACTACTATGGCTCATTGTTGACCCAACTTAATCTCTGGCTTGGTTTTTTATTTAAACCTTTGTACTCTGCCTTTCCAGAAAGACAGAAATCCACAAGGCAGCTAGCAATGCTAAAGATAAATGCAAGATAGAGAAAGAAAAGCATAATCTGGAATAAGAACAGCCCCTGCTTCTTTCCTTAAAGCTGAAGTTAATATTTCAAGTCCCTACCAGATGTTATATTATAATCCAGAGGTTTTCTGGAATAGAATAGTCATAACCAGCTATGTAAGTACCAGATGTTATATTATAATCCAGAGGTTTTCTGGAATAGAATAGTCATAACCCGCTATGTAAGATACTGGGATGGAAATGCGTACCACCCACTCCTGGACTTCAACTCCCAGAAATCCTGGCCAGCAGAGGAGGTGGTGAAGGCTTCTGGGAGTCGTAGCCCAAGAACATCTGGAGGCCCAGGGTTGGGGACCACTGATGTAAGATACTGGGATGGAAATGTGTACCACCCATACAAAGTCAAAAAGGCCACCATGGAGGCCAATAAGTAAAGAGAAAAGCAAGGGAGCTGGAAGAAATGTTGTTCTCCTATAAAATCAAGACCAGAAAGAGTTTTTTTAAGTTTATTTAAAGGAGGGGGGGGAAGGCTTCTGGAAATGACTTTGGAGTCCCCAGGACGGCTGGATGTTTCAACATCAGTGGGATGGCCAGTCTGTTCTTAAGTTCCACTCTGAACTCTACAGGAGCAAACCACAGTACATTATTGAGCCTTATTCTCTGTATATTCTCTGTCTTCAGCACCTTGGAGAATTCCTTTAATGTTCAGACTGGAGCCCAGAGCGGATTCATTGACCCTGGAGCCCCCCAACCTCCATGACTCCCATCTTGTTTCAACTCTGGGTGCTGGTGGGAGGTTTCCATGATGGAGGTGAAGAGAGAAATGATCTCCCTGAGCTACTCAAAGTTGTATACCTGTGGTTTTAAATTGCACCACTCGTACTTAAAACTGGACCCTAACTGAACTTCTCAGTTGTCAGGGACACTGCAAAAGACAGGAATCCTCTGGATCCTCGCATCAAATGCAGAAAAGATGGTCAGGTTACTCGCAGACACTCTGGGGTTGATTTTTCTGTTTGTTTCCAACAGCGTGAAGAGATTTGATGACTTAATAGCCCCTTTCAGACTGAACGATGGCTTCAAAGACGAGGCGGTGGTGAATGAGATGAGACAGGGCTGCCCCTGGAAGATTTCTGATGAAGAAATTGCGAAAAACAAAGCTAAGGTCCGGCAGCCTAATTGGTGTAGATGCTAAATGTTGCCAGCATGAGAAAAGATCATTAAGAAATATGTATATATATATGGTGACTAGTTTTGACTAACCCTGGAACAAACCCTTTTACATGTATTTTGTTATTCTAGCAAATGTCGCCTCTAACTAGCTGCGTGTTGCAATCCAAAACTCTATTTTATGATTATTTCTCACATTTCCAGAGTGACCTTTCTCATATCCCCCCCCGTAATCATTTATGTATTTTACCGATATAAAATTTCACACCATGACATGTTTTCTGTTTTCTGCCCTTTAGTCTCTCCGACAAGTGAGGATGAATGAGATTATGCTTGATTACTCCCGGGACGCGGCCCTGATCTTCATGTAAGCAGGAGAGATGGCAAACCCAAGGAGCGATCTCAACTTGAGGAGGGGGTGGGGGTGGGAGGTCAGGGGACCCTCAAGAAACGCTGGTGAAACAAGGAAAGGTTGTGATTTAGAGGCAAAGCCTGCAGAACTTTTGACCATAGCCTTAAAGAAAGTCCACAAGCTATGCTTGATGCTCTCCCAAAATCTCCAGCTTCTGTAAACCATCCTACAGCGAGGTGTCCAATTTAGAAAAACAGCTCTCTTTTGGGTACTACAACTCCCATGAACCCCAGGGAGCACAGACAGCATGGTATGCCATTTTGCCTTTAAAGAACCCATCCGCTCTCCTATTTGGTACTGCAGATGCCTCTCCACACACAACGTTTCTAAGTACGGACCTTGCTTTTAGTTCATAACATATCTCGTCTGTTGTCCTATTCCGTTCTTCTCTTGTTTTCTTTCCCAGAACCCTGCCGATCGGCAGAAAGGGGAGATGTCCCAGCAGCCTCTATATGGCCTGGTTGGAAACCCTCTCACAAGATCTGAGACCTCCGGTCGTCCTGGCCAGAGGGAACCAGGAAAGCGTCTTGACTTTTTATTGCCAATGACTTTTGGAGAACGTCCCGGGGATGCAGGAGATACAGGCCGGCCCCTGCTTTTGGCCTGAGCCATCCATGCCGGCGAAAGCAGACAATAAAAGACTGGTGATAGAAAATATTCTGCAAATGCTCGGGTTACCTTGTCCTCATTGTCTACATGGCACAGGAGATTTGAGGAAGAATTTTAAGCATGGGGCTCTCTCAGCCCAGCCCTTGAGATCGGGAGAAGTGAGGACTATGTGATTCACTAAGAACTTACCTGAACCTTCAAAGTATTCATAAATGGGATGGAAAGGATGTGATTGTACGTAGGAGCAAACAAAACCTCGCGGCAAAGCTTAAAGTCAATTAATTACAAGTAAAATAGTTACCTGTAACTGATTAGGTAACAAGTCATGTAATGGGTAGTTACAAAGTTACAGTAAACATTATTTAAGAAGCAGTTGCAGAGTTATTTTACAGGTCTAAAGATTAACGTTTCCTTTTTGTTATGTGCCATCAAGTTGCCTCCAGTGAATGAACCATCTCCAGAATGCCCTGTCCTCAGCTGGCCAGCTCAGCTCTTGCAACCTCAAGGCTGTGGCTTCCTTCAGGGGAGTCAATCCATCTGATATTTGCTCTTCCTCCGTTCCTGCTGCCTTCCACCTTTGCTTCCATCGAATGTTTTTAGTTAACTTCTAAAGGATCATTTTAAAGGGCATTTTAGGGCCTTTTCTGGTGAATTTTGACAGGAATCCCAAGGAATCCTAGGAAGTATAATTCGCTTTTGCCTTCTGAAATTTGGTAAATATATTCAATCTGCAATATCAAAACTGGACATTGGTGGGCACTAAAGAATATTTTCCTGCATTTTTCCATCCTGCTTGTAAGGACAACACATCCACATTAGCAAGAAACAACTCAAGGAGTTACTCTAGTAAATTGAAGAGGGACAACAGTAAGGAAACGTTAGCTGTCAAAAAGTAGGAAGTAACATAAGAAGTTACTCATTAAAAAACAACATTTGAAGCAGTGGTTTGCTGCATTGAATTAAGGCTGACACCTCTCTTATCCCTTTTCTGATAGGCTCATTCTCTAAGAGTTGTATGGCAAGGTAGGTGCAACATTGGCCCCTCTACAAACTACACCACCTGGAGGCAATGGGAGGCCCCTTTTTGCACACTAGAATGATGTTTCTGACTAGGTCTGTTTAGATCAGTGGTTCCCAACCTTGGATAACCCAGATGTTCTTGGACTTCAACTCCCAGAAATCCTGGCCAGCTCAGCTCGTGGCGAAGGCTTCTGGGAGTTTGAGTCCAAAAACTTCTCTAGAGACCCAAGGTTGGGAACCACAGGTTCAGGTGATAGCACTTCTACTGTACCCACATACTGAAACAAAGTGACTCATTAACTCGCAAATCATAGTCATCTGCGCCCCCAAAGTGATGGCTCTGGTCTGAATCTTATAATAAACAAAAGAGGAAGATGGAAAGAATGCAAAGCAGCTCAGTAGCAGGGAAGGTATTTAGAGCAGGCTGGAAAAGGGTATGGTATTGGGGTACCCCCATCCTTTAAGTTTTAAATGATTTATTTAAGACTCTTTGGTGTTGGGTAAAGTGTGAACTTGGACCTCCAGAACAAGCCAGCAAAGACTGGTGGGTTCCAATAAGCATGGGATGAAATGGAGTAACCTGAAAGTGGGGGGGGGGTAACTGGCTGGAACCCTGAACCTTTTGTTCCGAGGTAGAACAAGCCAGCAAAGACTGGTGGGTTCCGATAAGCATGGGATGAAATGGAGTAATCTGAAAGTGGGGGGGTCACTGGCTGGAAACCTGAACCTTTTGTTCCGAGGCCCAACCTTCCTTCTCCTTCTCCTTTTCTTGATTCACTGGGTGGGATGTTGCTAAGAGAAAGACAGACACAGATGTCCATGAACTCGGAGTAAGGCAGAGAAGCAATTGCTCCAGTTTGTGTTGTGGGATAATGTACAAGTGTGCATTCTCTCCCCCGCCCGCCCCGGTGATCGGTCCTCGGCTCTCTCTGGGGCAAGCAGAGTGTGGTTGGACACAGTGGCTTGACTTCCGCAGGGAACGGCCCTTCCTGTCTCTGCTGGGCAGGATATGTTCTCTGGCTGGTTCTATCAGTTGCCAAAGACATCACTTTGCAGCCAATGTTTCACACTTATCTCCTTGTGCGATTGCAGCCTCTTGAATTTCTGCCAAGGATCTCGGTGTGCTGGAAAGGACTGTCATTCTCACAGCCCGACACGGTGGTTTTGGGTTGGTTGGTTTTGCTTGGGTTTGTTTTCAGACAGGCGTAGACTGTTTCAGGATTGCATCAGCCGTTTCTCCTGGAAAAAAAACTGAAACACCATGTCTTTTCTTGAGCAATGTGAAACCAGCACCTGTTCAAACAAGGGAAGGCCATGAACTTACTTTTACATAAGTTGCTAGGAAAACATTGCTTTGGGAACTGCTTGTATGAAGTTGCAGTTCAGCCACAGATAAGCCGGCCACTTAGCTTATCTTCCGGGACACCTGCCTAAGTCACTCCTAAAAACCTCTCCCACGATACCCATGGGATCCTTCCAGGGGTAAATGTGTGTGGGTAAATGTCCGTCTGCTGCGAGACTATATAGTCTGAGCATCTGAAAAAGTTCCTGTCCAATAAAAAATCTCAGTCTTCAAGGTACATAAAGCTCTTCTGCTGTTCTTGCCAGAGACAAAACACTGCAATCTTAATTCAGAACTATTCTGGCTTTTGTGCCTCTTGGAAAGAGCAGAAGCTTCTTATCCCTACTCAGGATCGTGCTTTACTCGTAAGCAGCATCCTTATCTGGCAGGGCAATGAGCATGCACAGATGTTGGGCGAACATCTGTAGCAGCCACCCTGGAGGCCACGCCCCCTCGCTCCTCCTCCAGCTCCTCCTCCTCCTCCTCCTCCTCCTGCCCCAAGCGGCAGCGTCTGATAGGCCGGCGTCTCAACCGGTTTTCCCCGCCCTCCGCGGCAGCCAATCCGTGGAGGCCACCGCGCCGTCGCGGGGGCCGGAGAGGGCGGGGCCCGAGGCGCCCAGAGGCTATATAAGGAGGCCGCCTCTTTGGCCTCCCCTTCAGAGGCGCGGTTGTCGCCGAAGAGGGAAGGTCGAGTGTTTGTCTTTAAAGGGGAAAAAGGGGGGCAATGGCGGACGTTCCCTCAGGACGGACCGAGGCCGGAGAGGTCACGCTGGTCGTCAGGAGCCCCTCGCAGCGCCACCGGGACATTCTCTTGCCGGCCCAGCGCCGGTGGACCGTCGGTCGCCTCAAGGCGGAGCTCCGCCGCCTCCACCCGGACGCTCCGGTGAGCCTCGAAGCCCGCCTTGGGATCCTTTGGATATCCCCCCCGCATTGCCTCATGCACACAGACACTCAGCCCCCCCAGACACACACGCGAGGCTGAGGCCCCGGTTTTCCTCACGCCAAGCGTCGGGGGTTGGGCCACGTCGAGCCTCCCCGCTCGGGAGCAGTCTACCTGAGCGCAGGGCGAGGGTTGAAGAAGCAAAAAAGGCGGCCGGCGGGGGGGGGGTCGGTGTTTCAGGGCGAGCGCAGGCCTCCCTGGGTTAAGACCAAGATGTGCTCTTAGATGTGACGAGAATTGAGTTTTTGGCACTGGTTATGTTATGGTGTTTTGTTTTTGTTTTTTTAAATGTCACTTATTGCTGTGAACAGCCCAGAGTTACCATTGTATATGTGTGTGTGTGGGTATATATATATGCATATACGTGTATATAGGTCTGTGCGTACACACACACACACACACGTGTGTCTGTATATGGGGGATTGGAGAGGTGTCAGAAAGGCTATTAAATGGTAATACCAAGCTGGAATGCTTTAGTGGAGCCTGAAATGACTGGGTTTGGGGGGTCCTTCCCGAGAGAGGGCAGGCTGGGGAAAGGCGGAGGGCAGCAGGATGAGAGGAAGCCCAATGGTGAGATGGCCTGACTCTCTAAAGGAAACCACAGGCTGGAGTCTTTCTACAAGAGCACATCAGGACTTTGGCAACAGGGTGTTTAGGAAGTCACTTTTTCCTGATGGTGATGATGCGTCTTCAAGTCGATTCTGACCCTTTATGGGGCTTTCAGTGTAAGTAAGATTTTCAAGGAATGGGTTTACCGTTTCCATGCCCAGGGATTTGAGTTCTCCCGAGTCCTCGTCCATCACCACCCACCCCCTTTCAGAGCTCTTTTTCAGGGGGTGACCTGGGATGGTGCAGCGTGCCCAAGGTTTCACCGACTGGCTCCTCTCCTGGGATTGCACGGTGGAGAAAAATCAAACTTCCAACGTCTGGCTCTGCAACAAGATCCTTAAATCGCCATAAATCAGAACCAGCTAGATGGCACGGAGCAGTGGCATCTCCTTTGCTTCCTGCATCCTCCGGGTGTTTGAAAAGACAAGACTTCCCAGAAGGAAAGGGGAAAAAAAGGAAAAGCTGAGCTTGGGATGGATTGATCCGGTAAAAGGAACCCCAGGCTTGAGTTTGTGTGGGCTTGGGGTGGAGGCTGGTAGACGTGGAAGCCACGTGAGAAGGAGGTGGCTTCTCCTCGTTTCCCCACCCCTTCCTGAAATGTTAGCCCGCCTTCCAGATTTCTTCAGACTCGGGCTGGAACTGAGCCTCTAACTCACCGGCGCCAGAGGAGATCATGGATTATTCTGGTTCAGTGCCCTCCTGTCCACTTTGAGCAGCCAGGGGCTCTTGGAAAACTCACAAACAAGGAACACTTTGAAAAGCTGGGATGGGATATAAACACAACGGCTTCCTGAGCTGTAACTTGAAAGCCACACCTCAGGTACAGCCTGCATATTTCCTAACTTATCTCTGTGAGAGAACCGTGGCGCTTCCATTCGCCATGAGCCATTGGGACACTCTGCACTAGTGTCACGACGTGGGTGCGTGCCTGAAGACGTGGGCTTTGATCCACAAAAGTTAGCAGACTAGGATTTTTTTAGTGGTCTAATAAAGGTATCACTGATCCAGGATTGTATTGTGTAAAGGCCACATTGCTGTCCTTGATTTCAGCTTTTCCCTTGATATTGCTGATCAGTTATTGACATCTGGTGGAAGACTTGCCGCTATCACATGGAAGTACTGCAGAATAGTTATAGTTTTATGAGAGAATGGACACATGAGGAACCTGAATTGCCATCAAGCTGTGCAGACTTTTTCCTGGAGGGTATTGTTTCATTCAAGTCTGCTTCCTGGGGAACATGTGTGTGGGAACGTGTGGTGAAGAGCCGGAAAGAGAATGCATCCCTACGCCATAAAGATATAGGTGTCAGTAGCTGTGGATCAGAGGGTTGGGGGCACCACACTGCCCAATGGCAGTTGTGGGGAAGCAGTCGTGGAGCTGGTCCTGTTGGTGGACTTTCTCAGAAGCCTCTGTTTGGCCATTGCAGAAAACCAGCCTCAGGATTAGACAGGCCCTAAAAGGGTTGTCCTTGGCACAGGACAAGTCATTTCTGGAAACATTGGGGAACAGTAGGTTTTTTTTAAACTCAGTTTTAACTCTTCCCCCCTTTTTTGTTTTGGTATAAAAATACTCGTATCTGAACATTGGGAATTAATTTTTGGCCACTTTTGGGGGGATTATTCCTACATTTTGCTGGTCTGTGCAGGTCCCTGCGGAGCATGAGGGCAGAAAGTTAGCACTCAGACTCCCTGAAATGTCCCATTTCTGTAACAGAAACTCGGAGGGTAATTGCTCCGTCTTACTTTGCAGTGTGGAATTAAGGAGAAGAGCTTATTTTTTTCAGACCAGGTGACAAGGTTTCCATGCAGTCCCATCCCCATGTACCTCCATTTTGTTTTATTGGCATTGCTCACAAAACCTCACTTTAAAAACAGTTCTATGTCAGTGTTGTGTCTGATTTTGTTTTCACTGCTGCCTTTATGCTTAGCAACAGGATTTCAGCCACTCTTTCCCCGTCATTCTCTGGTACTTTTTTGTCTTCTCGTTTCCTGTGTAACTTAGCCTGAGTATCTTGGCTGTCCTCCAGTGGTCTGAGCAAATATACATGAAATAATCACCTTTTCCCTCCATCTGTGTTAGGTTTGCCAAGGGTGTTGACCTACTCCCAAGTCACTGAGTGCGCCTCATGGCTGCACAAGGGCATCACCATGCCCTTGTTTCCTTGGTCCGGTGCTTTCTTGCCACACAGGCTTTGCTTCCTCCTTCCTTTCATGTGGCTTTCCTTGTTTGTTTATTTATTTGATTTGTACCTGCCCATCTGGTCTATAAGACCACTCTAGGTGGCTTACACCAAACACCAGCTCAAAGAGAGAGGGACTGATTCTTGTTATCTCCTTTTTTGAGCCCAACCTGGGTGTGATTATGGGGGTAGCTTGCTTTACTTAATTGATTTAAAATACTTATAAGGTTGGGGTACTTTGTTCCCGTTGTGAACAGGACATGCATAAGATTCTAACTGACATCAAAAATACATCATAGTTTGTCCAGTGTTTAAATCCTGTACCATAATCTCAGTCAGGCTCTGTGTCAGATGTTAATTTAAGAATCAACTGCATGGAGTATATAACAGGTACCTTGGCGTGTATTTCGTTCTTGCTGCGTGCTTTTCTCAGAACATTTTTGTCGAGACACCATAATCTCAGTCAGGCTCTGTGTCAGATCTTAATTTCCTTTAAGAATCAACTGCATGGAGTATGTAACAGGTACCTTGGCGTGTATTTCGCTCTTGCTGCTTGCTTTTCGCAGAACATTTTTGTCGCGAGGAGTGGGTGCATTTATGGCAGTCAGAATCCCAACATTTTTATCCAGGAGTTCATAACTGGTCATAGCCTTGCGACTAGCACGATTTGCAAATGAAACTGGTTGTGCTGGAACATAAAGTACTTTTTTCAGTTGAAGTCATCATTGCGGTCTCTTTTAATCTTTACCTTCTTTTTTTTTCCTTGCTTTTTTTTTGCCTCGTGCCAGGATGGTGTAGGTACTGCTTGTGTCCACTGATTTTCCAGCAGACATTTCTTATGCAAGGCACTGGACAAAAAAAAGCCCTCTCCAATCAGCAAGCAGTCTTATGCAACCAGACAGAATCCGGGCACCTCCTTGTGGCTGGCTGTTCTTTCTATTTTGGAAAGCTAAGCTCTTTTGGACAGGGTGTTCCACTCTTCTACCAAATAGAAGATGAAGTCAGGGCATTTTGTGCTACTCAGAGAGTTTGATTTATTTTTTGTTGTGGGGCCCCTGTTTACTCCTGTTTTTATTACTCAAGACATGTGTGGGTAAATAACTTCCTTTTGTGATACATTGTTAATGGTTTAGCAAGCCTGTGTTTGAAGAAACTAGTCAGCTAACAGTTACTGTAGCAAAAAGTCCATGACAATTATTTGGCTTTATTTTTGGACCGTTATTTGCAAACAAATGCTAAGGTGGCTTCCTGTAATTGTATGTTTACATCACTTATTTTGCAGTGTAAATGAAACCGCTGGTGCAGAGGCGGAATTGTTTTTGAAGCTTGCTCGTTGTTGACCTGAAACTCAAAAAAGATTTCCCTTTACTGCAAAGTTCTGTGATGTTGCATCTTTGTAGCTTGACTAATAGTGCATGTTGCATCTGAATCCACAACAGATGGTGACAGCTGGATCTAGGCTGTTTACACAGCATTTTGAAACTACTCTGGTGGGGTTCTTCTTGGTCTAATGCTTCTACTGTGCCTTTTTTTGTTTTAACCCGGAGGAAAGATGGATGCAATAAATATTGTGTCTTCTTCATTTAGTTAACTGGGAACAACATGCTTCTGGTATTTTGCCATAGCAGTGGAAATCTATACTTCCCAAATAATACAGAATCACAGTGCTGCTCTCTGAGTTATGTAAAGGGGCATACTGTTTTGCTGTAAAAGCTGATGGTACACACTGAATCACATTCAAGATGTATGGATTCAGAGAGTGTCCACTCCACAGAGGAATTCAGTTTAAAGTTTGCACTGCCTTACAGAGATTTCAAAATACCCCAGTTGTAAGGAAGCTACAGCATAAAATGTTCTCTTTTCCCATCTTAAATGATTGTGGTGAACAGTTCATTAAAGTAATAATAAATTGTATTAATTGCTATTGTAAGTAATGTAGTGTCATTTGGTAATCGTACGCGTATGTACCCATGGGCGTGTGTGTTAACAGCTATTAGTCATTGTGAGGTTAAAATAGTGTTAAAGAAATTATAGTCTTCAGTGGTGGGTAAGAATTGGGAAAAACAGATTACATAAGTTTCCTAACTGGTATCCATGGTTTGTCTGTCAAACCTGCCAGTGTGTCCAGAGTTACCAGACTTTGGTCTTGTCGCAGGACAGGCTTTCTTGTATGATTTAGAAGTAACTGGCTGTTGCTGTGAGCAGAAATGCAAATGAAGGATTCCAGTGTAGGTTGTTGACAGCCTGAGTCCCAAAAATAATTAAAGCCCTACTGTCAGCTTGGTGGTGGGTTGTCTATAATTCATCCATAGCACCACCTTGGCTTATCTCAGCCTCACCCATGGTCTGCCATAAATGCACAATTTGTTTCATTCCTGTTACAGCTTCGTTCCTTGGTTAGTGTAACAGAGCCGTGGAGTCAAGTGTAGTGACTGTTCAAACCACATTTTTCTTTGGTTGGAAATGTTGTTTTTTAAGAAGTGGCTTAAAGATGCTAATCACTGAAACAGTTATCCAACGTGTTAACGATAAATAGTGTTGAGAAATTTGAGGGTTTTTTTCTCTCTCTGAATTTATTTATTTGTTTATTTAACTTACATGTCGCCCACACGCCCAAAGATCTCTGGGCAGCTTACAACAAGTTACTCAATCCATTCCTCCAGGGCCAAGCAGAAATGAGTGTAAATTGTTCTAGGAAGTGCAATACATTTCTGAGACTGCAAAATGCACTCAGCAAGCCACATTTGAAACAATTGCAAAACCACTGCATACCATTCTAAAATCCAAACAAGCATGTTTTAGTCAACAGGTGTATATACTTAATGACTAAGTAACAACAAAGTAAGAGTAGGTGTTCTTTTTTTCAATTGAAGGTACTTTGAAGATTATTTGAAAAAGGCAAATATTGCATTTACAAGAACCGCTAGTGGATACTTTTGCTTAATTTAATGTTCCCAATTTTGACTCCTGTTTTCTCTTCCTTTACAGCCTGAAGATGCTCAGAGATTGATTTATTCTGGGAAGCTGTTGCAAGATGGCCTTACCTTGCAAGAAGTGCTCACTGAGGTATGTAATACCAGGTTCTGATACTGCTTTTGGTAAACATACGAAAGTGTTAGTTAAATGTAATCCAGTGGAGCCTTCCTTGAAATTTCAATTTGCTTTATATTGCAGCAGGAGACGGTGCATGTTCTGCACCTGGTGTGCAATTCAAAGAATCTGCCAAAAAAGCAAGAAGATGATGCAAAGGTATTAATAAACCTACAGTCACCTAGATTTCAATTCTGTCTTTGCGTAGAGTATCAAATTAGGAGATATCATAGAAATTGGAATTCCTAGAATACTGTTGATTTAGAATGGCCTTAGAGGAGTTAGTGCAGTATTGTTATAAGACTCTGCTGATTTTCTGCCCAGAATATTTTTCCAGTCAAGCACCTCTAAAGGGGGCCTTGGGAAACTTACTGGTGGGATGGTTTGCAGGCATTTATCCCTGGTTTATTCTTCTTGATAAAAGCATACATGTGTTTGACTGAGGGAAGTGGGAAACTTGGGTTGGGTGTATTGTACAAACTAGCTTGCTAGGGGATGCAAGAGTTTAGGGCACTCAATGCTCAGGAGTTAGCTTTTCGCTTTCATTGGCCAAATGACTTGGGAGGGGGCATATTTATATTCGGGTTTGGGAAATAGACTCCAAAAGCAAGGCAGCCTTGGGTCGGCAGGCTGAGATTCATTCTCTGTTACCCTAAACCGGCATTCCCACAATAAATGATCACATGTTCATTCTGACACTGCTGTCTGTCGCACAGTTCCCACAAGCACACACCTGTATCTTCCCCATGCAGATGTACTGTTTCTCTTAGGTGGACCAGATACTCCTGACTCCTGAGTGAGGAGGAAAAAAGGCCGCTTCTCCTCCTGCTCCCCCTATTTAGCTCTCTGCCCCCATTCCCCCCCCTTGCCTCGCTTCACGGCCCCTGTCTTCCTCACTATGCTGTGGTGGCAACAGGCCTGCCTGTCTGCTTGCCTTGTCCTGGGTTCAGAGCAGTAGCAAGCTGCTCTGTGCACCTGGTGCCATTTTACAAAGGCCAGGAAAGCAGCCCAGTGAGGTGAGGCAAAGGTGAGGGGTGGTGGAGAGGGGCAGGCTGGCAGGATGGCGTTGGGGGGGGAGTGATGCTGTGCCAGGAAGAGAGAGTGGAAGATGAGGAGAGAAGCAAGGGTCTTTCCCCGTGCTCCGGTTAGGAGCTGCATTCTGGATGGGCTGGCTAACCGGCCTGCTCCTGTTGTTGTGGAAGAACATGTGGACCTCAGGAGTTCCAGGCTGAATGCAGGTGGAAGGATCTGCCCGAGGGGATGGAATGGAGGGTAGACAAAACCCCACATTCTCCAGTGGCTGCTTAACTGCCCCCCCCCGGCACATTTTATTTGTCTTAACAGTGGGATGTTCTTAGGGAGACGCCTTGTTAAGCTCTAGCATTGGATGTGTTTCAGGATGCTGAAGCCGAGCGTCAGCGGGCAGCCTGCAACCCAGACCCACCAGCAGCACCTCCTTCTGGTCCTGCTTGGCATCGGGGAGGAATCTCCGGCCCCCAGCCACGGGCAGCCGGAAATGCGAGTGAAAGGTAGGCATGCTGCTTCCGAAAACATCCCACGGGTCCAGTGTGTGAGGTGGATATCCTGTAGGAGGGCTTGGCCGGTCAGCTCTTGGTCCTTTTCAGAAGGCTGGAAAGGCAGAATGTTTGCCCTTGGAATGAGGTCATTTATTGATGTAATTCCTGGTTACACTTCTATTCCCCCTTGCCACTTGTGTGCTCAAGGCGTGCTGCTCGTAGTTCTCTTCCTCCTCGCTTTTGTTTAACCACTTGACAAGGTCAGGCTGGGGGAAAAAACATGCCTGGCCCAAGGTTACGCTGTAAGTTTCAAGGTCAAGTGGGGTTTTGAATCCAGAGCTGCCAAGTCCTAGTCAAACACTACACCATACAGGCTGCTATTCCTTCTCTATCACCCAGCACAGAGAGTTGTGCCTCTCCACTCAGTCAAGAGTCCCAGAGGGAAGGATGAGAATTTGGTAGTTAATTTGGAACAGTTAATTTATTTGGATAGTTAATTTGGAATATTTCAGAAGCCCAGTGTATAGCTGAGAGACAAGATCTTAAGTGATAGGAGGTTCACTTTAGTTTCTGAAAAGCCACAAAGAGGCAGTTCTGTATTTTGAAGGAGCATTATTTTTCCAAGAGTTCTCTGTTCCTTTTTTCTTCTTGGTGATGGAAGGAGACCTCTGAGGAATTCCACAAAATTGGGTTGTGAAGGCTTAGGTGTAGCTTGCTGGGTGCATGATGCTCAGGCCCATCTTTGTTCCTGAAGGCATTTTCTTCTGTAGAAACTTGATTGTAGTAAGGGTTTTTTCCTTCTGGTGTAAAATGGCAATAAAAATGGAAATATGTAAGAAATCGCCTGCCTTGTTAATTGAAGGAGGAGAGGAATAAGATTGCTGTACAAGTTCTGATCAAGTGTGTTTCCCTCTGAAACAGTTCTCCACCAGCCCAGTATCCCTTCGAAGGCTTGGACGTTGGCTATACATCATATACGATGTACCGCATGCTGCAGTTGTGGTTTCATCAGATGTACGCGAGGCAGTATTATATGCAATAGTGAGTCATCTTTTTGTCGTTTTTCTTCATTCTTTACAAGGAGTTAAATGTGAAGTCCCCCTTGGCAAATACCAGCCACATGTTTGTGCTAGTGGTGGCCGTCTTTCCATGTCGGACTCTCAAGACAGATGTGTTGCAGCAGGGCTTTGTTCACTCATTGCATCACATCCAGTCGCAGTGACTTCATGGTGCATCTGCTGTAGGGCAGTAAAAACCTGTGGGGAGGCAAGCTTGCAAACTTGAAGAGCTTTGCTTTGCAAATTGGGTTCCCCCCCCCTTTTGTGCCCGTGTCAAGGCAAGGCAGCTTGCCTGTGCTTTCAGAGTGAACTCACTGCTGTTCTTTTGCACCTAGTATGGCTGCCAACGTGGCCTCTGGTGACGCCTCCTCAAGAAGACGCACGCAAGAGATCCCAGTGGCGGCCCCCGTGGCAGCTCCTGCTCCTCTTCCTGGTCCATTTCCTGCAGAAAACCAGCCGGCTGGGAATCAGAATGCTCCTCCGGGGAACCCAGGAGTCAATCAGAATCTACGGATGAATGCCCAAGGTGGGGCTTTGATGGAGGAGGAGGAGGAAGGAGGAGGAGGAGGCCACCGCGACTGGCTGGACTGGCTCTACTCAGCAACTCTTTTCTACGTCTTCGTCAATCTTGTCTATTTCTACTCCAGCCTCAGCAGATTCCTGATGGTCATGGTCGGCACCCTTCTGATGTACCTGTAAGTGTGCTCAGAGCAGCCTGGTTTCTTATGATGTGATAATTTGGAGTGAGTTATTATTATAAGTTTTATTTATACGCTGCATTTCTCCCAACAAGGGACCCAAAGCAGATCACAACATTAAAATTTACACAATTGAAAACACAATAAGCTAAATATTAAAGGATAAATTAAACCATATATGATTTTAAATGCAATTAAAAGATTAAAACATGACAACCTTTAAAAGATTAAAATTACCCACTAAAATGGGGTTCAGGGATTCAGTTATAATTGTTAAAAGCCTGCCTGTCTTTAGCTTTTTTCGGATAAATAACAGGCAAGGGACCCTCCTGATCTCCCTAGGGAGGGCGTTCCATAGCCTGGGAGCTGCCCCAGATAAGGCCCCCTCCTGTGTGTCCCCATCAGCTGTGCTTGTGCTGGCCATGGGACCGAGAGGAGAGCCGCCTCTGCGGATCTTAATCATCAAGAAGGCACCTAAAGGGAGAGACAGTCCTTCAGGGAGCCTGGACAGAACCAAGCTGTATAGTTGTCTCACAGATGGCATTCCCATTTAATTCTTTGTTTTGCACCAGTAACGAATTAGGTTCACATCATTTGAAAATAGACATTGAGAAGATAACATCTTCGTTCAGTTTTAATGCCAAATAACTGTTGAGCTTTTCGTGAATGAGCCTGGGCAC